TCTCAAAGAACTTACACCTGACCTCCCGCTAGGACAAAGAGAGCTTTTTTCTTCACGAAGATTGAAGCCAAATCATGATGAAGATCGAAGAAGGACTAGGGGTTTGGGAAAAGGACCTCCACGAAGGAAAAAGAGGAGCAAAATGAGAGTCTGACTCCTGTGGGGAAAAAACAAAAGAAAATGTAGCCCCAGATCAATTTCCAGGTGAACAAAGCCCACTTCCTCTTCTCTTCTTGATGCTCCCAGCACCTCTGCTTAGATTTCTGGACACCAGAGATGGCATCTTGTTGGGACCCTGGGGCACTTTTCTGGTGGAGAAAGGAATTTTCCCTAAAGGCTCTGGTCTGGCCAACTGGAAAAAGAAAAGGGGGAAATATAATAGTGATCGCCAAGTACAGGTTTCCCTCCTTGTAGTTGGGATCCAATCCTCATTTTGACAATAAGGAATGCTGTCTTTGTCACTTCCTATTTTCAACGTGACTGAGGCAGTTGGGAAGCAAGGTGTCAGAAGAGTGTCTTCTTCAAAATAAAAGTAAGCAAAACAATTTGCAATGCCTTTATCTTAAGCCCCATTCTCATGTAGAATTATAATAAAGATGTTCTTCCATCTGCCTGAAACGCCTGAAAGAAATGGAAAGAAAGATGTTTGTTCAAGATATGTGGGCTCATCCATAAGCAGTCATGAATAAACAATACTATGTATCTATTTTAGAAACTATCTAAACGATTTACAGTGAGAGTGATTTCTGTCGTGTGGGTGAGGTCAGCTCATTAATTAGGCAGCCACTGTCCTCATTGCCTTATTGGCCAGGACTGAATAAAGCAGCAATCAATTAGTATTGATTGGTTTGTTTTAACTACCTTCCACTCCTGATTAACCAGATAAATAAAAATACATTTAATACCAAGAGACTGGTTACTTTCAAAGATGATTGTAATGTTCTAATATTCTGGAATTTGGATTAAAAAAAAACTTTTAAAAAAGTAGGACTAAGCAAGTACTCTTACAATTATACAGCTATATTTCAATAATAATGCCAAATGTCAAATAACAAATATTTTAAGCCTTTGCTTGAGAGTCACCATCATAAAAGGATTCTCAAGTGTTTCAAATTACTCTCAATGGAAATTCCTAATTTTCCATGTGTTTCCAGTAAGGAAGGGTTTCTTGTGGGATAATTTCTGGAAAATTGAGAGGGGTGGGGGGAGGAGACAGAGGAGGAGGAGGAGAAAAGGAACCTGGTTACGTAATAAAAGCAAGCAATCTGTGCATAATCATGTGAGAAAAACTGACACAGCATTTCACAACTGCTCAAACATACAACTGATCTGCTGGTTTTACTTTACAGATAACACCTGTATGTCTTAAATAATTCCTATGTACAGTATTCATTTAAAGAATTTCATATAGTATAAAATTTCTGTTTAAATGAAAATGTAGTTTTTTCAAAAATGTATTTGTTATTCTATTAACTAAACCTGATTCTAATGGGTGTACAATACATGTCCACATGTAAAAAGAACACACAAAAATGTTGGTTACATTCATCCAGTGCAAATAACTTCCTTGGTCTGACCAACATTAATTTTTCTGGAACACAGCAGCTCATCCTAATCCACTAGGATACTATTTTAAAAAGAATTACCAGATGAACTTTCTATATTGGTCCAAGTTACTTTCATGGCATTGAGTAAAATAAAACAAAAAAGCATATCCGAGTAGAAATTTGAAGTAATTGTCTGCTTTCATTATTTGATAAGATTCATCAGTTTGGTTCCTTGTGAGTCTGATGCTCTAATAAATGTATTTGGTACATATTCATATTTAGGACTTTCTGTCCTTCGTTAAAATGTCTTAGCATTTGCTTTACCTTAGCAGAAATAGCTTTATGTAATTAAACTTAAAGGCACCCAATTCAGAAGGACGAATGTTGTCACAAGTGCAGTTGGTTTTGAAGAAAACAAAAGCTTTTCATTCAGAATAAATTCAAGTTCGAATTTCCCAAGATGCTAAGCAGGATGCCAATAAGGAGCACTGGTAATGCTGTGTATGTCAAGGCTGTCATACAGTCAGGAAGAACGCTTGCAGCACCTGGCAATGCCTGTCGACGCAAAGAGCTGGAACTGATCAGTTAAACCATTTTGCACCAAAATATGAATGAAAATGATTCTTTGAGTCTTAGCAAGAATAAACTGGTTAAATTTACTGAATCTAGATCGTTTTAGAGATGGTTAGGACAAAATATTGCACCATTTTTCACTGGAACTGATCATTAATAATTTTACAATTGCTATCTAGATAGCATAAGGCTTGAAGGGTCTTGGGGAGAATAAAGTGCCTAGGCTCTCTCTCTTTATAATGCTATTCTATAATTTCTCTGCTTCCTCAAATAAATGTTCAACTGGTAGTACGGACCTGGGACAACCTATCACTGAGAGGAAAAGGCAATGCCTTTCAGCAATAGCAACATCCTCCTTCAGAATCCACCAGTGACTGCTGGGCTCCTGCAGACCCGGGGTTAATTCTCTGTAGGCGTGTGACCTCAGGCATTCTTCACTTGTCTTTCAGATGAAGGTGTTAGGAAATGATGGGTTTCCCTTGAAAGTTTTAACCCTGCTGTTGGTGGTTAAGGGCTTCAGAGATGCCCGGGCAATCCCCTGTAAAACTGGGAGTAAAGCAAAAGGTGGAAAATTGCAGAAATGTGCTAATTATATGGGGTTCATTTATTTTGTGTACATACATTCATTTTCCTGAAGAATGAGAAAAGGGGAAGGCGGGTGTGGGGGCGTGGGGGTGCCCTTACACCGATAATCATTACCAGCAGGATGACATACTACACACACCTTGCCATCCAGTCAATGGCTAACCCTAGCGACCCACTTACTAGGTCAGAGTAGGTAGGATCCAGGATCTGGTGGGTTTCCAAAACTGTAAATCTTCACAGGAGTAGCAAACCGCATCTTTCTCCTGCAGAGTTGGGGGTTTCAAACTGCTGACCTTCCAGGTAGGCAGCCCAGCATGCAAAGGACAGCATGCCAAGTAGCTATCCCTTCTTCCTTCTTCCAGCTGGTCATTACAGGGCACATGGAAGTGAGGGGAAACCCACCATCAGTGGCAATGCCACCTGAGTACTAATAAGGGCAAGCACTCGTAGTTACTCCCAAGTACTCTTTTTTTGCTCTTCAGAGTAATTTTTGAGGGTGATAGAAGGTGACAGTAGGTCAGGACCTAAGGCAATGATTTGTTATTTTAGACAAAGATACACAGAGACGGACTTCTGAGCAGGAAGAAAAGAGAGAAGAGGCACACAATTTTTAAATCTTTTGAAAATGAAATTTTGCACGCAAGCTCCTTCAAGAGTTAACTCTTGAGTGTTCTACCCTTTTTAAAGCAAAGGACATTCCCTTTGACTGAGATGAAGTGACAGATTGTGGCCACTGGTGAAAGGCACACTCTAAGGAGAGGTAGCCAGCCCTTGTCCACACAAAGGCGCGGCATTCCCTGCAGGTTCTGCCCGAGAGGGGGTTGGGGGGGAGGGGTGGTCACCACAAAGGCAGGGGGCTCAGCGACTCGCCAGGAAGCGCCCGCGGTTCCCCAGCTGCCCAACCCCTCTGCTGGTGGCCGGGAGAAGTGAGTCACCGGAGCCCGAACCCGGCGAGCTGGCAGAGGCCGGGGAATGCGGAGGGACCAGACCCGGCCCCGGGACAGCTGAGAAGAGAGGAAAGGAGCGCCGGCCGCGAGGACCCTAAGCATGCCCACAGCCCAGGCCGGCGAAAGTGCATGGAGTCTCAAGGTTTGCCTGGGAACCACAGAGCCCAGACGGGCAAAGGGGGAAACTTGTGGCAGGAACTTCCTACCGAGAGAAGGCAAAGCGCGCCAGAGGAGGCAGGGAGAGACTTGAAATGTCTCAATAACTTGCAAAGCACACCAAAACATCCCTTCTGGACATGAGGTAAGCCAAGGTCAGCCAAGCTCGATGGGGTGGGAACTAATCAGACAGACCCGGAGCCACTGTGGCTTTAAAACAGGGCAAGGAAATCTGTTTCCCTTACCCACTTCGTTATTTTTGTTGTTGTTGTTCCTCCAGGGTCCCTCCTTCCACCTCTCCAGCACCCTCCCTCCCTCCTCACCGCCCCCCGCCCCCGGCCCCCTCCCTCCCCCATCTGATTAGGCGCGGGCCAGGCAGGGTGGGAGTGGTGGTGGAAGCTCTCCCTTTAAGAGGCAGCGTGCAGTGACGAATTGTTGAAATTGCCATTGCAGGATGGCAGGCCGCTATAAATTCATTGTTCCACCTCCTCGCATCTTCACAGCGCTCGCGCGGCTCCGGGCGCTCGCAGCGGCCGACTGGGGATGACCGGGAGCAGGAAGACGCCGCCGCCGAAGGGACACGGCCCGGCCGCCTGAGCCGCTCAGCGCAGCCCACCCCTGCCTTTTTGTTTGACATCCGATGGCTTTTCTCCCTTTTTCCCTTCCCTTCCTCCTGGAGCCCGCAGAGCCCCGGAAACCCCCCACATAAGACCGGGCGCGGGTGCCGGAGCCTGGAGCCCCGAGGAGCGGAGGGGCGCACCAGTTGCCAGCCCCGTGCGCCGCCGCACCTTCCCTGCTTTTTCTCCGAGCAGCTAATGCCCACTGTCTTGGGGGTCCGAGTTTGGGAGTTTTCTCCTTGCTCCTATTTGCTGAATCTCCTCCACCAGCCGTTTTTCCCCCTTTCTTTTCTTGTCCTTTTCTCCTTTTGGTCCCCTCTTACCAGGGCAGGAATCCAAACATTTTCCTAATCGACCCAGAAAGTTCGCACGCTGCCACCGCGGCCCCGAAAGGCTAGTGCTGCTGCCAGGGGGTGCCCCCACCCCCACCCCTGCGTCCGACACTGGACTCAACCTTGCGAGCCCCGGTGTGAGGGGGCGTCCTTCCAGCCCTCCCTGGCCACTTCCCAGGCGAAGAACAAATACGCGCCGAGCCCCCGGCCGGTCCCGAAGCCCCTCCCCGCGGGCAGCGCACTATGCGGCTCGGGTGGGCGTCCCTACTGCTGTGCGCGCTCCGTCTGCCTCCGGCCGCAGCCGGCCCGGCAGAGGCACCTGCCGGGCCACCTGGGGCCGCGGCCCCGAACCAGCAGCCCGGCGGGCGGCGGGGGGAGGTGGCGCCGCAGCTGTCCCAGCCGCCGGCGCCGAGGCGCAGGAGCAGCGGACTGGTGCGGAACCTGGACCAGCTCTACCGGGGCGGCGGCAAGGTGGGCTACCTCGTCTACGTTGGCGGCCGGAGATTCCTCCTGGACCTGGAGCAGGATGGTTCCGTGGGCACCGCTGGCCTCCTGCCCACCGGAGGCGGGCCAAGCGCCCCGCGGCGCCACGGAGGCCACTGCTTCTACCGGGGCACGGTGGACGGCAGCCCGCGCTCCCTGGCCGTCTTTGACCTCTGCGGGGGCCTGGACGGCTTCTTCGCGGTCAAACACGCGCGCTACACGCTGAAGCCTCTGCTGCGCTGGCCCTGGGCCGAGGCGGACACGGGGCGCGTGTACGGAGATGGGGCTGCACGGATCCTGCATGTCTACACCCGCGAAGGCTTTAGCTTCGAGGCTCTGCCGCCACGCACCAGTTGCGAGACCCCGGGGTCTCTGCTTGGGTTCCGAGAGCGCCCTCTTTCGCCCAACAACCCTGGCCGGCGAACTTCACTTTTCCCGCAGATCCCCAATGAGTCCGCGCCCTCTCGCTCTGGGGACTCTGGACCGCAGACGTGGTGGCGGCGGCGGCGCCGCTCCATCTCGCGGTCCCGCCAGGTGGAGCTGCTCCTGGTAGCTGACCCGTCCATGGTGCGGATGTATGGTTCGGGACTGCAGCATTACCTGCTGACCCTGGCCTCCATCGCCAACCGTTTGTACAGTCACGCCAGCATAGAGAACCACATCCGATTGGTGGTGGTGAAGGTGGTGGCGCTGGGCGACAAGGACAAGACTCTGGAGGTGAGCAAGAACGCGGCCGCCACGCTGAAGAACTTTTGCAAATGGCAGCATCAACACAATCAACTGGGGGACGACCATGAGGAGCATTACGACGCGGCCATTCTGTTTACGCGAGAGGTAAGTCCCGTCTGGGGGTGTGAGCCAGACACTAATAAGAAGGGACAGTGTTGCTGATGCTTGTGCTTTTGTCATACATCATTCATCACTAAAGATTTGCCTAACTCAGTGGTTCTCAGCCTTCCTCATGCCGCGATCCTATAGCACAGTTCCTCACGTTGAGGTGACCCCCAACCATAAAATTATTTTCGTGGCTACTTCATATATGTAATTTTGCTACTGTTATGAATCGGGCGACCCCTCTGAAAGGGTCGTTGGACCCCCAAAGGGGTCGTGAGAACCGGATGAGAACCGCTGGCCTAATTGAATCTAGCAAGAAACCTAGTCAGATTCCAATTCTGCTCTTGTCATTGAAGGTAGCCAAACCATTGCTGTCCCATCAACGGTCCATCTTAAGTGACCGGATCTGTTTGAGCTGTCAGTTAATTGGCAAGGCAGGATGTCATCCACTGTGCAGTGTGTAGCATAGGTGGATGAGTATAAGAAAAATGGACCAGACTGCTTGAGAAAACGTAATTAATGGTGATGTAATTAATGGTGATACTTAGAATAATGGGTATGCTACTTCCCAATGAATCCAAAATATAACAGCTGGATAATTCATTCAGTATAGTCACTTTTATCCCGTGTCCTCCTTTGTAAAATGCCCATGCCTTATTAGTTGAGCACCTTTTGCAGCAGAAGTAAACAACAGGATTTCTAAATGACTGGTTTCTCTATCCAGCTTCTTAGCTGGTTCTCTTACTGGTTCACCAAGATGGGTCCTCCAATCCTGGAAAGGAAGGGCAAGGAGGGAATGTTGTTAGCTGGCGCTCAGTTGGTTTGAGCAATTGTTGACCAATGTGCAGCAGAGGAAACCGCTGTGTCAGATCCTGAGATACCCGATACGCTGAGGGAATAAATGGCAGTGCCTTAGCAACTCCTTTGCTTAGTCAACCAGTGCACCACAGGCAGTCACCCAACCACTGAAGCAGCTTGCATATTTGGTTCTTGGATGAAAAAGCTTCTGAACACCAGTGCGGAAGAGTCTGGGCAGAAAGTCAATACATAAGGAAGGAATGTTTTCCTAAGTATTTTTTTTTTCCTTTTAAAGAAAGGTGGTAACCGGAAGGAGGAAATTGATCGTTTTAGACCCAGAGGCTCTGGAAACACAATATCTATTTACCCAATCATTAGACCACCATGTAATTGTGACATTCAAGCACAAAGTCTGGTTTAGTTTGAGTTTGACTGGATCATAGTTCTGAACTTCATTATTTTTGTACAATTCTGCTCCGATTGGTGCTCTTAAGTCATGCCTCTCGGAGGCCTGCTAAGAACGGACCTTTTAATGTGCATTCATAACGTGTTTGAGATGCATCCAGGAAAGATGACGAATTGTAAACGCTGAAATATTTTGTAAAATCATGGCCCAAAGTGGAGCAAACAGCAAGGGTGGGAAACGAAATCATGATTTGCAGACAATTTCAGAACCACTATCCATTTCTTCTGTTTTTACCAAAACCAAACTCATTGTATCAAGTCGATTCTGACTCATAGTGACCCCATAGGGAGGGGTAGAACGGCCACCGGGCGTTTCCGGAGACCTTGATTCTTTAGGGGAGTAGACAATCTTTCCCCTGCACAGCATCTGGGGGTTTCCTATTGCTGACCTTGCAGGGCTTAGCAGCAGCCCAACTAGTGACCACTACTACGCCACCAGGGCTCATGAATAAACATATATATAACCAGAGCACCTCTACAATGAAGGAAAGTGCTACTACATCTGGAGTAGGGAAACACTTGTGGTCCGTGGGTTGGATGTAAACGTAAACCCCAGTGTAAACGAAGACATTAGAGGGCAACAGTTTAGAGAGAAACAGGCAGGGCAAGCAGCATGTGGATGAAGTGGTCTCCTGGAAACCATCCTTACATTTCTCTGCACAGCATTCATCCGTGAAACGGTAGAACCTTCCTTTGGCTGTCTTCTGTTTGAAATGAGATTCTCTTGTGTAACCATTTCTTCCTTACGTGCTTTCCAAGTCTTTTTCTGTTTTAAAGCATCTTTCCATTGCCTGGATTTCAGTCTGTGGCCACATCAGAAGAGGCTGTCAAGAAGGAGGCTGAGGAGAATGTCTGGAAGGAGGTTTTCTAATGAAACATTGAACTACAACCGCAACAGAACTTTTCAGGGCACACTCCTTTACATTTTAGATCATTCTAACAGTTTTCATATATGAATACCAAGGCATATACCAAAATTAATAGAGGGCCTATTACACCCCATTCCTTGTCCTATATAGTTTTCTTAATTGCTTCCAGAAAAAGAAGGGGAAAGAAACAAGTTGGTGATTCTAAATGATCTGATGCTTTGGCTGGACCTGATATTTTTGGGGTAGTTAATATCTCCTATTTTCCGAGTTCTAAAGTATTGGCAGATTTTAAATAGATTTTTTTTAAAAAAGCTTTCAATGGGAGAAACTAATGGCCTGTTTTAATTTTATTAAGCATTTTAATAACATACATTTGTCTGAACAGCCTGTAAATATTTGACACTGGCCCTGCCTTGCCTTCAAGCAGAAGCGTACTTTTAGTAAAGTTACTTTTGTGTAGTTTGCTTTGGGCCTTCTGCTATGTACATCTAGCTTGATAAGAGCCAAATATTTGAGAAGCCTGTGTGCTATGAATACATACACCTAATTTAAAAGAGTGCTATTCATTCGGGGGTTAAGAAAAATATTTCAAAATCCTTATGCAGCATTCACTTGAGACTACCTCAAAATGCAAAGTTAATCTCCGCCTTCTACTTGGGAATGTGAAAATCAAGAAGTCTGGGAAGTAATGCTCTGAGCTCTTTCAACTGGAAATCACATGGAAATCAAATATCTTAAGACCTAAAGAAACACTGTCAAGGCTATTTCTTTTTCAATGAAAAATACCCAGAATTGGCACCAGCATTCTGCTTTTACAACTCTGTTTTGAATGTAAGAAGTGTGTTGCTTAGCAGCCAGACGCCAAGCCATCAAATTCCTGTTTTGATGAGCTGTGAGCACTGTTCAAATTTTGTGTCCAGATGTCTTCTAAATTACTTGTTTTTCATCCATGAAGCAAATGTGTGAGGGTATGTTTTCCACATCTCTTTACTAGCCAAGGCCACCTTGAACCTGTGTCTAGGAATCAACAGACCAGTGCTAGTATTTCATCTATCAAACTAACACTCTTCACTGTCAGTACCTGCCTGGCACAACACTCTGGTCCTATTCTAATTAGAGAAACTTGGCACCAGCCCGTTTGCTGGCATAGGAGCCATGTTCACCCTGGAGTTGCACTTCTGCTGGGACTCCCACCACTTGTGCCATCAACCAGGAGAAATCTGATCTCCCTAACACTTCATTTTGCTCCCCAGAATCCCATCCTTGTTTCTGGCTTCCGCTTTTATTTTTAAACTGTTTAAGAAAATATTCTGAAACTCACTTTGTAGGTCCTTCACTCTTTAGAACCAAATGCTTTACCTGTTGGTTACAATCCTGGCAATTAATTTAACATCCCATTAGTAGACCATGCTAGAAAGATAAATTCACTTTCATTCATTGTCTATGTGCCCATGAATAGGCTATTGTCCCTTTTCTGTGCTCTGCATTATGCTGTGAGGCTGCAAAACAACAGGCAGCATTTCTCTTTCACCAGCTGGCTCCTTGCTAGGTTTGTAAAATAGAGGGTATGGGCAGAAGGTCAGAAACACAGAGAAAGAGAGAGATGCTCCTTTTTAAAAATTTATTTTCTGACTGGACAGACTGAACCCCATGTCTCTCATGGAAAGTCAAAAATCAGTCTTTATCCACTAATTGGCCTCTGTTGGTGGCCATTGAGTCCGTTCCTGATGCATAGCCCCCCTGTGTACAACAGAATGAAACACTGCATGGCCCCCACAATTGGTATGTCTGAATCAATTGTTGCAGCCACTGTGTCAGCCCTTCTCTTCTAGGAGTTTCCTTTTCACTGCTCCTTTCTTGACCTATAGGGAAATTTTAATCAGCTTTCATGACTCAGAAATGGGTAGGTGAAGTGAGGATTAAGTGACAATAGTTGACATTTTACATATATATTGGGAAGGAAATTTGGCGGGGGAGAGGAGAATGCATCACATTATAAAATCATTAGGGGGTGGTGGGGGAGAGGAGCTGATACCAAGGGCTAAAGTAGAAAGAAAATGCTTTGAAAATGATGATGGCAACATATGCACAAATGTGACTGATACAATTGATGCTTGGATTGTTATAAGATCTGTGAGAATTCCCAATAAAATGATCAAAATAAATAAATAAAAATAAAATAAACGATACTCAACTTAAAAAAAAATCATTAGAGACATGACTTCGTAACTCACAGGACATGTTTCAAGGCCATACAGCTCATGCTCAGCAAATTTTATGAGTGCCTCAATCAATCAGCAGCTCAACCAAAGCTCAAACCAGATTCACTGCCATCAAGTAGATTCGGTCCGCTAAAAACCAAGCCAAAAAATCAACGCACTGATGTTGATCTGTGGAAATCTGTGGAAAGTCAGTGCCATGGAAGTGCCTGCTCCCTGACCACCCGGGCTCTTCACCAGGGAAAAGGAAACAGACAGATGCGTACGTGCTCTACTGTTAGAAAAACCCTGATAAGCGCTGTTGCAGCAACACAGTCTGTGAGTGACAGGGGAGGGAATAATGGTTTGCGCCTGTGGACCTCGATACAGAGGTTGCAGTTTGACTTCAAATGTAGAACTGAATTGATCCTTGAAAGATAGATTTGGTTGGGATGCCACCAGCTCATAATGAGCATTTCTTATATCTAAGCCCTGGTGAAGGCAGCTAGGTGGTGCAGTGGCTAAAGCACTCGGCTGCTAACCCGTAGGTCCAGGCTTTGAACCTGCCAGTGCTCCTCAGGAAAAAGATATGGCAGTCTGCTTCCCTAAAGAGTCAAAGCCTTTTAAACCTCAGGGCTATTCCTGCACTATCCTTGAAGGTCTCCATGGA